TATGTTTGTAGAAGTTTGCATACATAATTACTCATATAGTTATATTATCAGAATTATATAGTTTTAGTATGTGGAGCTTTGTTAATTAAAAAGAAAATTTTAATTGGACATATAGCTTAAAAACTTCACACTTTTTACATTATCAAGCACCAGGGAAATTGAACTTTATTTGAATAAAGTATGCAGCTTAACGCTACATATTTCCTTCAGTATTTCATTCAATAACTTTTCAGCCTAAGAAAATAGAACGTTTTATGATGGTAAGTATCAGAATTGTTTAGGATCCAGTGAGAGACATGGTGCTCCATCTTTTTACAATCCTATTTTTAAAGCAAACAAAATACCTTTCAGTTTATTTGTCTGTAAAACAAGTATTTAAGTTTAATGGAATGAATAAATCACAGAAATTTATAAATACATGGGGAAAGTATAGGGACAAATGGGTCAATGGAGGTATTGTGTTTTGGTGTCCCCCGTTCCTCTCAATTTGCTTCTTCTAATTTTAAAAGTAAATGTGCAACTCATTTTAGAAAAAGTGCAATGGGAAATAAACAGAATTAAGTGAAGAACAGTATTATATAATGTATCTAACGAATCAATAAATTTGTCTTATTTTCTCACCTACACATGACTTACTAATTATTTCCTTTATTTTAGAGACAATCGCAAAACAAACCAGGCAGCAATGCTTGTGAATCAGCTGACTGAACCCACAGCGTTTAGGCTGGGGGTGGGAGGCAAGCTCCCACTTTAATGAATACGCAAAACAATGTCCAAAACACTTACCAATTTGTACTTGTTCTGGCTGGCTGAGAGAAACAAATGCTGATGTGTCATCAATCCAGGATATCTGAATGCTACCTGCAATATTGAATTAAAAGTAAAGTGAGCACTTGACCATTTAGCAGATTTCATTTGTAGCTCGATGTATTTCAGTATATGTGTTAATTTGGAGAGAAATGAGGTGCTGGTTTAAAATTTGATCTAAATCTCAGCACTACAAAAAAA